TGGCGGAGTTTCTGGGACTCCCGTTTGGCAAGTCCGGCTCGCAGGGGCCACTGGAAGCCTTGGCATTGGTGCTGGCGATACAACAGTGGCGATACAAGCTGCGAGGCACCGTCGTTCTCATCAGGTCCGACTCGGTGGTGGCGCTGGCCATGGTGAAAAAGTTGGCGGCAAGCTCGCCGGCGCTGAACTACCTGGGCGCGTGCTTGGCATGGAGCCTCAAAGTCGGGGGAATCTTCGGGCTCAGCGGGCATCACCTTGCAGGTGTCTTAAACACCGAGGCAGATTGGTTAAGCAGACCTCAGAAGCAATCCGCCACAGAGACACCTCCTGCACTAGCCGGGCTCAAGGTGAAGGACATCACCATCGACTTGGCTTCGTGGTACCCCATTCCGTCACCTGGAGAGTCGGCACTGTGGGGAGCGAACTCTGAGACTGTGCACCTGGTGTTTGAAGCCCTGTTAAGAAAAGAATCAGTTTGCAGATGACCGCAGCTGCGTAGGGCTGTGGGCTTCTCGTCTGCTTGAGCTGTGCTGCATGTGTGTCGTTTGACTGCAATAAGGGCCGGTTAGTTACATGTCGTGCACAGCTTGCAGCTATGGGGGTGGTAGTTTGGCAGCCCTATTTGCCAGCTAGACTGGCCACCTCATGGCTCACCTTCGGTGCGTCTGTGCCCTCTTCGTGGTGGCTGCTGGCGCTGCTTGCTTTGAGCATTTCGGCATGCGCGCGGCTGGCCATGTGGGGATGCAGATGGGCGCGCAGGACATGTCCTCCGGAGGGATGGAAGTGTTCTTCAGGAGGCGGCCGTCAGGATGTTTCCGACCGGCAGGTGGACTTCCATCAGGGCGAGGACATCCTTCTCCTTCAAGCAAAGCGGAGGAGAGCAGCGAAACCACGGCAACAATGGTCAAGAATTTCGAGTCCGAGGAAGAGAAGGCCGAGGAAAGCTACAGGTGGCAGTGCGCCGTCTGTGGTAGATGGTGGGATCCGCGCTCCGCTTCAACCAGAAGATGTTCAACCTGTGGCAGCCCAAGCTTTGAGGAGGCGCGGCCCCTTTCAGGCTTCGGCTCCGGTGTTGCAGGTGGGAGAAGAGCTGCCGATGCCACCGACTCGAAGCATAGATCCCATTGTGCGAAAAATGTTGGACAGAGCCAGGCCAGTGATGGAATTCATGGACGAGGAGAAGGTCGTGTGGGGCGTGGGCCGGTGACGAAAGAGAGAAGACGGTCAAGAGCAAGTGGCAATGTGGAGAAGGAATTGGCCAGAGTGTTGGGCAGAGGCAAAGTTACCTTTGACAACACCACAACCTGGCCGTCGCGGTCATTGCAACCTTGCTTGGTGGCAATGCTCAGATCTAGCTCAACGCCGGCGCCCTCAAACTTGGGAGCGAATGGGCAGACTCCTCAAGGTGAGGGACAGCGTGAAGAAAGAGATGGCGGCGGAGACGGGGGGCGGCCAAGAGGTTCCTTCAAAGCAGCGTTGGAAGCCGCCAGAGACAAAGAATGTATGGTGGCCGCGGTGGATGCTTTGAAGAAGGACTTTTGGTCAGACTCTAACCGAGAGAGCCAGCTATCGAAGAGGAGGCTGGCAATAGAGCTGGCGCAAGTGGTCGGGGGCGACTGGTGGGTTCCACCTTTGACCGAGTATGTCGTCCTGGGAGTGGCAGCAGCTTTGAAGGCGGCGGGCCTTAGGACGGCAGCTTCGCTGGTCAACGAGCTTAAACTTTGGCACGTGGAACAAGGACATGCCGTTTCGGACAGCTTGAACAGGCTGCTGTGGCTGGCAAAGAAGTCCGTCTCCAGGAACCTAGGTCCAGTCAAAAGAGCTTTGGAGGTCAAGATCATGGATCTGGAGGGAGCCCTGTGGCAGTGCAGTTGGCACATGGACATCTGTGAGCCGGTCTTGGCGTACGCTTGGGCTGTCATTTTCATGCTCCGATGCGCAGAAGTGGCCGCGGTGCGGTGGTCGCACGTATCTGTGGACAAGGCGAAGAAGTTCGTCACCTTGAGGATTCCCATCTCGAAGACCGATCAAACGGGATGGGGAGTGCGGAGGACTTTGGGATGCTGTGGTTTGCGCAGGTGCGTATGGACATGCGCCTGGAAGGTGTGGTCCGAGCTGCTAAAGAGATCCACCTCGAAGTCAGAGTTCGTGTTTCTGGAAAGGTTCGAGAGTTCCAAGTCGACGAGGAAAATGACAATGGCCTGGCAGAGCAAGCTGAAGGCGGGGGTCACTGGACATTCCGCTCGAAGGTCGGGAGCCATGATGTATGTGAGAGCCGGGCTTCCACTGCAGGAGGTCGCCTTTCTGGGAAGGTGGAAATCCAACGTTGTGCTCAACTATGCGGAGGAGGCGTTGGAAAAAGTACCAGCAAATCAAAGGATTGTGCCCTCCTCACTGGCTGCTGGGTCCAAGGACTTTTCTGTCTGGAAGTCTCCCAGAACACCGAAGCGGTCTTCGTCGGACTTGGGCTGCAACACACCAGTGCCTATGACTCCTCCGGCTGTGTTTAGCCTGAGGACAAGCTGGAGGACAAGAACCGGGGGCCGGAGGGTGTCATTTCAAGCCTGGGCGACAGCAAAGCAAAAGAACTCTGGGTGTACTTCGTGAAGGACAACAGGTCCAACTCTGCGTTGCATCTGGTCACTGTAGCCGGGTGGGAGGTTCCAATGAACTCATGGAGAACCGCCTGCGGCTGGCCCTTTGCAGTGAATCGAGCTGAGGCGGCCTTTTGCTACAAGTTCGACCTCACTAGAAAGAAGTGCCGGAGATGTGTCAACAACAGGAAGAAGCGCGACTCGGTCAATGAGGTAGAACTGTGGCGCTTGAAGACAAGTGGCCTTGCAGATGCCTTGGACGGGTGCGGCCTGCGTGAAGACTGAGCAAGGCACAATGCACCAACTGTTAAAAGATGCGCTTCGCCTCTGCCAATATAGGGTGGAGGGAGGGACTTTGACTAAGCACGAATTGTTGCCAATGGGTCCAGTAGCAGCAACTCTCCCTTGAGAAGCGTGTCGCAATTGCCCACAGCTGCGCAACCACCAACCCAGGTAGGCGGTCCATGCATATTCGTTCATTCAACCAATCCAGCGAATCTAGCCACGTGCTCTGTGTGCCTGGGCCCAAGGATACAATCTTCTGGAAGGACCAGGTCCCAAGCCTGGCGCGCAGTCCGCCACGAGCTGCCATCCGCCTGGTGACTTTCCAGACCCGGTGCCTGGAGCTGGTGTCACTTGGCAAGATTGAAGGGAGAGCTAGAGAGTTAAAAGGATAAGAAAGTGCACATGACATGGAAACTGGGATTAGTGGGGAAAGTTGCGGGCCTTGCACCTTAGTTTTTCGCACGTCGAAGGTTGAAGCTCTCTAGTGAGATCTCCGAGCAACTGAAGAAGTTCCGCCCTGGAAAGCTTCGATGGGAAGAGGAGGTTGCGAGCCTTACTTGTCAGACTGCTGGTGAGACTGAGACTGAGGAGGAGAGATACTTGCCTCCCTTCTGGCATGTTGAGAAGCTCCGCGAGCACGGCTATAGTACCATCCGCCTCCGTGCCCTGGGCTACTCTGCCAAACAATTGCAAAGTGTTGGGTACAATGCCTCGGAGCTGCGGCAAGCAGACTTCACGGCATCTGATCTGTTTCTCATCAATTTCAGTTGCCCAGATCTTCGGTTGGCTGGCTACAAGGCCTGGGAGCTCAGTGCTGCTGGGTTCTCGGTGCAGACCTTGAAGGATGCGGGTTTCAACGCCGAGGAGATGAAGAGTGCTCAATTCTCGGCGCTGGTTTCGATGCCATGGAGCTGAAGAAGGCCGGTTTCAATGCCACACAGCTGGAGAGGGCCGGTGCCCTTTTGCAATTTGTGCAGGATGTGTTGCTTGGCTAGGCTATGGGGTTGACGGAAAGCTATTCATGGGTTGCCTTCATTGAGTATACAACGGAGAGCTCAGGTTCACGGGCGTGGAGCTGAAGGCTGCGGGCTACATGTGCTTTGATCTGCGCAGGCTGCCATTGCAAAAGATGATGGAAGAGAAGGGGTTCAAGGTTCAGAGCGATGCGGAGGAGGATGTCAGATGCGACTACCTAGAGTTTCTGAAGTGCACACCCAGGCAGCAAGCGGATGCGCGCAGCTCGACCACGTGCCTTCGACGTCACCACAGCGCGGAGGAGATCGTGCGTGCCGGCTTCAACTCAGAACAACTTTGTCAGGATCTCCACGGTATCACAGCCAAAATGCTCAAGGAGGCTGAGTATAAAGCAAGATACCTTGTTCTGGGCGGCTGCCGGGCCACGCATCTGAAAGGCGCGTACTCAAAGAAAGAGATGCTCGAAGATCAGTGCTACCCAGTGAACGCTTTGAACCTCGAGGATTTTACCATGAAGGACATGAAGGATGCAGGTTACACTCCCGAGCAGCTCAAAACGCACTTCTCACCGAAGAACTTGAAAGCTGCAGGTTTCGATGAGTATGAGCTGTTCAAAGCAAATGTGGACCTGAAGAGGGCTGGCTTTCCACTGAAGAAGCTTTATGATGATGGGTGGAAGATTGAAAAGGTCAAGCGGGCCGGCTTCTCTGATGATGATGTGAAGAATCACTGGAGCTGGTGGGCACGTAACGTTCGCTAGTCACAAGTCTTGTGGTGAAGTAGGTGCTTTGCCAGTATCGCTGGTGCCGCTTTAGTAGCTTTGTACGTAAGCCTGGTTGGTGCCGGTCTAGCCAGAGCCGTTTTCGAGTCTCACATCTCTCTCATAGCCTCGGCGCTGGTTTGGACAAGCCCCGAAAAGCGAGAGGTACTGTGCGGAGTAGCTGCTCTTGATGCAGCGAACTGGGTCTTTGCAGCCTTTGTTATTCGAACGCAGTTGCAGTCTTCCTTAAGAAAGCCCGGAAACGCGTATGCATGTGTATGCTCAAGTCGGTCTGGAAGCAGCGTGTGGTTTTGCATTTTGAAGATAGCAGGCTGCTGCCTAGAAGTTGGGAACTGCGGCGTTAAGCCATGCTCCTGATGTCCGAGGCCCGACGTGCGTCGAGATGAACATCATAGTAGCAGTGGAGATGTCCACTGTGCCCTTCAAGACCTTTAAATTTGTCGGGCCCTAAGCTTGTGACAGCTGACAGCTTGTGCAGATGTGTTAAACAACAGAGGTCCCAGGACCCCAGGACTGACCAAAGCTACATCCTACATATCCTACTGGCCCAAACCTGGCACCGCTGTGACTCGCAACCGCTGCCTACAACCAGAGAGCACGTGGAAAGTGTTTTGGGTTTGAATTCGCCTAGTCCCTGGGTTCTGGCACCTAGGAATGTTGAGATGTGCTGAAAGGATCGTAATGAACAGTGTCTGGGGCTTGCCATTCTTCTGAGTTTCAAACTTTTTGAAGGACTATCCAAGCACAAGCTCCAAACAGAGCAACAAGAACGCACCGCAGGGAGTTTTTGGCCTCGTTCATTCGAAAACAGCAAGTTTTGCGAAGCGACCGTCGCTATTGAAAAAAGCCCGAGCAGATAAGCGTCATTCTGCAGAAGTGACAGCTTCTTCAAGTGGGAATAGGTTTAACAGGCTGCCAGACTACAGCAGATTGCGAGCGAAGCGAAGGTGATCCAAAAGGTGATTACAAGCGCGAATGGCAGCGTGACACTGTACAAGCAGCTGCATCACAGCAGTATCAGCAGTGACGGTCGCAGCAGAAGCAAGTAGTGTCAAAAGCTGACAAGTAACATGATAACAGGCGATGCTATCATCCACGCACCCATCCACCCTCCACTCCATGTAGCATGAGGACAAGTTAAGTTCGGAATGGGAGCCGAACGCATCGATCCTTGACACAGCGTATTTATGCGTAGACGGTGGCGTGGAGCAGGCTCCGACTTTCACACAACGCTTAAAGTACGGTATGATAATCACCAGTGCTAAGTGGTCTTATTGGTAGTGCCGGTATTTTCTAATCTGCTTCTTGTGCAGGATGGCATCCTCGGCCTCAGTTTGGACGGCCTGGCGATGAACCGGAATTTCAGCACCTTCGACATGCGCCCTGGCTTGAAGTGACCTCGGCACGTTCTGGAAACGTCACGAAGTTCTGGGATGTCTTATGTTGTTCAGGAGAAGGGTCCACAATGGTTTGGAGGTCCGTCATGGAGGTCTTCAAGTAGTACCGCATCCACAGTAGGCTAACCAAGTATTTCTAGCACATCCGTCCTCCGACCCAGAGGAAGACTTGCTATTGCCTGTCAAACAGTCGTTGAGCTGATCCATGACTTGCATAGTTCAGACTAATGGGCGGTACGCGAGCCTTCTCGGCATCGTTTGTCGGCTCTGTGACACTAAGTAATCTCACATCGGAGGCGAATCCGACCCCGGCCATTGTATATAGTACCATGGTGGTGCTCACTCTAGGCCCTAGACTGGATTACTCAAATGCTCAGACCGTGGCAAATAACAGCAAGCATCACAGGAGGGGGCAACCAAGCTCCTGCAACGCCCAACCAGGTTTTGACGGATCCATGCAGGTTGCAGAAGTTATTTGCATGAGTCATACAGTAGACGCAGAATTTCCCCTGCTGTCTTTCGCAGCGTGCTGGCCTTGAGTGGCAAATCAAATAAAGTTCAGCTTGCATGAGGTTCAGACATTCAGCTAGAAATTTTGGAGAATCTCCAGCATGCAGTGACATGTATACTGTTATGATGGCTTGTAGCCAAGTGAATTTGTTGGACCCAACTGCCCGCTAGCCGGCTGCAACACGGCTGCATGATGACGCTCAGCTGGCTTGCAGCGTCTGCCCTTGCGCTTCTCTCAGCGACGATGCTTGGACTGGCATCCAAACACGCTAGTTAGTAGACTTCCATGCTGTTGAGCTGTTTGGCAGGGCCTGCGCTGAGACATCTCAAGCTGTGAAATCTCTATTCCTCATGTGCCTCAGGATGTTGCAAGGCCAGACGGTGCAAAAACCATTCGCATCCAGGGCATGGGCTTCAATGGAAGTGCCGCTTGCGTGATGCAAGCAAAGCTGCCAGTGGGACACAATGTCTTGTGCTTGAGTGTGTTCTGGCAAAGACTAAGACACAAAAGGTCAACAAACCAAGCTCCAGGAATGAGACAAATTCGTTGATGCCACTCAATTTAACTGTGTGAATAATAAGCGCGCAGACACGCACTCACAGTGCAGCAATACTTGGTTAAAGATAGTAGCGTCGGGGACGTGCAACCATTCTGTGGCCGCTTTAGTGTTAAGTCTGAGGAGGAGACGTGTTGATTGGCTAGGGGGAAGAGATGCAAAGGATATTTCTACAGTGGTGACCCTGGCAGGCTGCCTGAAGAATTTGAAGTCCACCAAATACGACCAGGGCAGTGGAAATCAGCCAGCCAGAGGCGTCTGCAGCGCCATCGCGTGCTTGGGCTTCAGTTCTCAAAGCTTTGAACACAGAGGTCATGAAAACGGGTTCAGGGTTCAGGGTGTGAAACAGTTTTTTTTTTTTTTTTT